CTAATAACAGAATAGTCCTGTTCTCTGTATTTTTTATTTGTTATTGTATTGCTATTTATTTGTTATTGTAAGCATTTCTTATCATTTCCCCCCACAAAAATCATAAACCTTACTTTTTATTGCATTTCAGAATTTATTTAAACATACATTGTAAAGCCTATGTGGCTGTACAAACTGTATTTGGGAATCTAGGCTTGATTTAATATGAACATATGGGAGCTAATTTTGACCAATATTCCTTCAATTATTGCTAAACAGTAGTTTTAAAATAATTAATGTTTTCCAAGACAAACTATTGATCCTAGAGATCAGAACAAAACTGGAACACTTGTTAGTTACTAAATAGAGAGAAATGCATTAATTTAAATGTGGTTTTACCAAAAGCATGTTCATCTAAAAGTGCCAGTATTTTGTCAGTAAAATGACAAGCTTAGCAGACGACCAAGTTGGAATGAAAAATCTGAGTGGAAGTGCTGTCCTTTTAAAGGTCAAGTTTTGTTTTATGCAGTCTACGCTGACTTGTAGACCTGTGCATTTCTCTAATCTATAGAGATTGTGTTTTATTTTATTGGCCTTGATTTTGCCCTGCAGTTTTTTTCAGGTTTCTTCCGAATGGTCCTGGTCCTGTTTTTATTTTTAATTTTAGGACTTCAGCTTTTCCTGGAAAAATATTGGGAACATGAGAAGATAGAACAGCCTGATCAAGGTTACAAAAATCCAGACAAACAGCAAGTGGCGGCATTCCAAAATCTTGCCAAGAAAATTTCAGGGACTTATCCAGGCAGTCACCAGGAGTAAATACTAAAGACACACACCCCAAGGAATTGCTGTTTCAGAAATTATAGATCCCACCACCATACACACACAAACAGTAGTCTTATTTCAATAGGCCATGAAGCCCTGTCTCTTTATTCTGGGCATTGCAGAATTGTAAATTAGCTTAATTTATCTTTGAAGGTTTTTAAAATTATTATTGTCTCAAAGTTCCTTCGCAACTATCTTTTAATGTTGTTATATCAGTTATTTTTTTATTATTCTTTATATAAATCACTCATCATGTTACATGTCATGCAGTTTGCCCTAGTCTTCTTCAGATAACTTGCAATCTTAAGATGTGATGAAGAATGATATCCTATCACCAATGTTGACATAACATTAAATTGCAAAACCTATTAGATTCTATATGAAGAATTTTTGACAGAGGTGTTTTTGGTTTTTTTTAATGCTGTGCACAGCCCCAATTTCATCCTTGGTTTTAAAAAGAAAAAGGGATTGGACTGTTTTTTATACTCAGAAAAATTATTGCACATTGCTTAAAAAAATAAGCAACATGGAAGCTTTTCTGTTTTAAGAGACTATGTGTGGAGGGGATGTTTCAGCAGCCTGTTTTAGGGAAATAAAAGTGGATGACAATCTTAAAGAGGTGTTTATCATTTATTTTCTGTGGTCTTGGAATTGTAGACCCTGTTCAAAAAGAAATGCCCTGAGTGGAATCTTCCTAAAAACTAGAGTATGTCTTTATACTCCCCAAGTAATATCTCCCTGAGTGATATCTTTTAATAGCAAAGGTAATGGATTTTTCTTTCTTTATAATTGCTTCTCATCAGGAATAGGCAATTTTCTGATGGCTGGGGACCAGTCTTAAATGTATTGAGAAAGCAGTGAGATCTTTTTAGAAACTTTCTTACACACTTTAATCCTATCCAAGACTATGCTTGCTTCTTTACTCACTCACTTATTCATTCATTTATTCTCTTTCTTTTGAAAAATAGTTGGAAATGTGGTGGTTTGTAGCTGAATTTTGACAGTGAAATCTCTGGAGTTTGAAAAAAGAGTCTGCATCACATCAAAATGAAAAAGGTCTTCTGCAGTCATGACATAAGCCTAAGACTGAAAATCAGGTTGTCAGATGCTATATTTTTTCTATCCTGTTCTATGGAGTAGAGAGTTAGTCTCTGACAGAAGGCTACCTGAAGAGACTAGAAGCATTTGAAATGTGGATTTACAGGCGGCTGTTACGTATAAGCTAGGTTGACAAGATCAGAAATGAGGAGGTGATAAGCCGCCTGGGAAAGCCAAGGAAAATCATCAAAACAATTAAAAAATGAAAATTAGAATATTTCGGACATGTGATGCGACACCCAGAAAAATATGGCATACTCCATTTAATCCTCCAGGGAAAGATTGAAGGCAAACAAGGTCCAGGCAGAAGAAGAGCATTGTGGCTTCAAAATCTAAGGGACTGGTTTGGACAAAACTCAGCAGCACTTTTTCATGCGGCTGCTGATAAAAACAGGATCGCCAACATGATCGCCAACTTCCGATAATGGATAGGGCACAAGAAGAAGATGATGACATTTGTAAAATGTAGTGCTTTTACTCTAGGTGCAAGGATTGCTAGAGAACAGGGAAGTTCTGGATTGCCTTGGCTTAAATTTGCCCCTGTCTAGAGGCAGTAATTATCCTTTTGTTGGTTAAAGGACTGAGTCCAGGAATAAAGTTCATTTCAGGACTAAATACCTGAAGAAACTGGCATCAGTTGGATTCATTCTAGGGTAAGCCTGATAACCTACACATTTTTCTGCTATTAACATACCGTGTACTTGGGTGAAATATTTTAATGATTACCAAAGAAGAATACTGTATGCGTGCACATTTTATTTAAGATCGGTTAAAAATGAAGTTAATTCAGTGCAAACTATTTCAAAAATTACAGCTTTGCAGATTATGTTGTACTAAGCACTACATATTGGTTAATATAGAATTCATTGATTAAAATAAAATTCTAATGTCATTAACCATTAAAGCAGATTCTTCATTAATTCATGAGGCAGAATGCTGACTTTTTGATTGCTTGCTATAGTTATATATCGGAAGGTAGACAAAATGCAATATTTTGTATTAAAATATTACAATACTCATAGTTAAAAGGTTTTACAACATGCCTATCAACATGACCTGACAACTGTCTGCTCCTCTTGATCTTCCCCATAAAAAAAAATCCATAAATCTAGACGGCTATTAAGTTTACTTAATCTAATTTACATACCATTCAAAGAACTTCAAAGTCATCAGGCAAAGCTTTCGAAAGAAATGAACTCTTTTAGATTTGCCGTCTGCAGTACTTTTCCATTGCAGAATAGGTGCAATAGTAATTTATTGTCCTGTTTCATACATAATTAGCTGTCTTCCTCCCCCCTCCCCTCCCCCATGCTCCAGGACAATTATGAATCTTCTGTTGCACTGGCCTAATTCAAGATGAGCTTGATTTGTGAACAACCATTTGCACTTTTCCTATTTTTCTTTTTAAAGAAGAATATTACAATTAGCTGCAAGCTATCAACTTCTTAAATACTGCCTTTAAATAGAATGAATATTGTATTTAAATCAGGTAGAACGCAGGATGCTATTGCCCTAACAGGAGAGCCAATTGTGGACAGAAGAATAGATGGCAGGGAACAATTAGTTCTCTTGGACTTTCCAGCCTAGGAAAGTCGAGCAGAACCTGGAATTGGGTCAATACGGTATTTTCAAGCTTTTGGTAAATACCAAGCTTCACTTCAGTTTGCAGATCATTGAAGCAAGGCATCCTGTTTGAGGCTTTGCACAGACCAAGAAAACAGTATATACTGCCATTTATTCTTTAGAAATAGTGACACAAAGAAATGTATTTTTGCAAAGTGGATATGAGATCCAACACATTTCAGGATTATTTGGACAATTGATTGTGCCATCAACTCAGTGTCAGCTCTTAATGGCTATATAGATTTTCTGCATGACAGTCTGTGTCTAACCTGGTTTTTCAACAGCCACTCACCATTGCTAACTGAGTCTATCCATCTTGCTGCTGATCATCCTCTTCATGCTTTGTCTTTATTGCCAATGTTCTGTCCTAGAATTTGTGAGATAATAAAAAAAAAGTCTGCCCCTGGTCCTTTTTTAAAATTCATGTTAGAATAAGCATTGTATCTGAGTGAAGGTACCTATCCATGAAACTAATTTTCTGTCCAGTTACTGGAGTATAAATGTAAATGCAAATGTATATTTAAGCATTCACAACAGTTAAAGCAACAGGCTTTCTCATTTAAGGGTGCAGACCACAACTTCCCATATGTAAAGTTGGGGGAAAGCTGCAATGCTGCATAGAGATTGTGTCCGTGCCATGGACAATGGCATAAAACTCTGAGCATAATCTGAAGTCCATCATACTGAACATAATTTGAAGCCCTTAATTATTTCACTCGACACACCTCACAGAGGTTCAGAGATTATTTGCATTTCCTGTTGACTGTCAAGACTAGGCTAATTATCTGGTAGTAGAGCCAGGAACAAGCCTAGTCTTGAGAGTCAACTGAAAATGCCTATGCTTTTATTATGTAGATAATAAATTAAAATACTAAATAAATGGGAGCGAAAGATAAAGAGATAAAAGATAATGAAAAGGAGACCCGAGCAATTAATTTCTATACGTTTCTTTCAGCTGGCTGCCCTTCCTGGCAGGGATGCATACAGTATACAGAACAAAGGCATCCAATATAGGATAACACAATTCTATTCTCACATTTCCTTAGATTGCACTATTTTTCCTGATTCTCTGGTTCCAGAATCCTTGGAAATTGGAGCTTTGAATACTTGCCTTTGTGTGTGGGGGGGGGGGTCCTTGGTGCTCTCTGAGCTTGTTTTCTTGTAGACCAGTGGTTCTCAACCTGTGGGTCGGGACCCCATTTGGGGTCGAACGACCATTTCACGGAGGTCACCAAACAAGACTGTCCGCCATTTTTTCCCCCTTTTCTTTGGCCATGCCCCTGGCACCCGGTGATGTATAAGTGGTTGGGGGTCACCACAACATGGGGAACTATATTATGGGGTCGCGGCATTAGAAAGGTTGAGAACCACTGTTGTAGACGTTTAATTACCCTAACTAGGTAACAGCACTCCTTACTGCTAGGAGTTGATGTTACCTAGTTAGGGTAATGAAACGTCTGCAAGAAAACAACCAAGCTCAGAGAGCACCAAGGGCCTCTCATTTCATCTCTGAGCTACAAATATTCTCCTTCATTGGTACCTGTCTTTGTGTCAGCTACACAAGAGCCGTTCCATTCTTCTTAGTGACAGAGAAGATACAACACAGGCAAACTTTCATCTTTCTGAGGTCCACTTTAGAGTAAATTTTCCTTTTTCTGATTGTTTCTTTGAAGCTTGAATTTTTTCCCCCTGCATTCTGATGATCTGTCAGCTACCTAGACTGGCAAGTTCAGGTTGATTTGACAAGTTATATTAAATTTTTCCTTTAACTCCTTTGTGTCTGAATTTCCTGGGATGGGATTTCTCCTTACTCACTTTAGGATAGCATTCCACAAAAGGAAATACGTTTTAAAAATTAAATATATTTAATAAGTTTTAAAACAATTGTTTATTATTTTTAACAATCAAAATTTTAAAACAGTTAATGCTGAATCCATTTTTATTTTCTCCATGTATAATAGCCAGGATATGGTTTGCCAAAGCACTGGTGAACCAGCATTTGACCTACACAATTATAGGGAGATGTTTGAAACCTATCAGTTTAAACCCTTTCCCCCTTCAGTGTTCAGGAAAAGAAACTAAGAAAGGAACTCAACAAGGAATGAGCTTGGAACAAAGAGGGATGTGAAAGGAAAAACACACACATGGATACAAGCTAGTGTCAAAGATCTCAACTGGAAGGAAGGAATTTGCAGGAGAAAGGATTGGACAATAAACAGGATTGAATGGGGCATCAGAAGCAGGGGAGGAGGCACAGAAGAAATAAAGAAATAGAACATTAACACTCAGTATCCCTTCCCACCAGTGACGAAATCTGAAAGGCATATTGGTATTGTTTCATTGGAATTCAATGACACATTGACCAGTGGCAATCAAGTCTCCCTGGGGCTGAATACAGCCTGAGTTATCTACCTTTATTCTGTTCCAATAAAGTCGATTTGGAGAGTTAGAACTTCCTTCTCTGTGTGTTATATCTTAGTTTGAAGGAAGCAAATATGTGAATTTGGGATATAGGTAAATATATATTTATTTTACTAATAAATGTGTTTTACCCAACTGTTTATATTCATTCTGCAAATTTTATGGAGAAAGAGTTGTACATGTGTAGAAATAAACAACTCCAATGTAAGTCTGTCTGAACAGAATTCTGGAAAAAAGAACAGAATGGTAATCAGGTCACACTTCAATAAAAGGACATTTATATTCTAAAACATGGGGGGAGGGGTTGCAAAATAATCTTTCAAGACTTTTTTAAAATATCGCCCTTTGGTTAATTGAAACTATTTTTAAAATACTGTGTTTATAATAAGACTAAAACAATATAGATGACGTATTTCATTACTTCAATTACTTCCATTCATACTTTGGGGGCTGCCTTTCAATTATCGGATGTTCTTGCTTTGACACTTACTTTCAATAATGTAATATAACTGTAAAAATGTTTTATTAAAATGCAAATTCCAAAAATCATGAAATGTTTGAAGATTAATTTAATTAATTTAATTTAAGATGGAATGGATCTAGCCTTCCTGAAATCATACTACTCTGAGTACATCATAGTTCATATTCTATACAGCAACCAATCTCAACTTTTCATACTGTAAATATTATACATATAAATATTCATATTGCTACAGTTTCTCATTACTGGAAAAGGGAAATTTATATTGAGAGAAAAAAAATCTCTTTATTTCCACAGGACAGCTCAAACCCCTTTTAAGGAGTAAAGGGACTTCATCTCAGTTGCAGAACAGGTGCTTTGCATTTTCCCCAACTAAAGTCCAGCTTCTATGTAACTATTAAGATATGCGATAACACTGCCTCATTGAGATGAGCTAATGCAATTTACTTTGATGGAAATTTAATACATCTAGTATCTGTCTCAAAGATTTAGAACAGACATTTGTGCACGTACAGCTCATGCACAGCATTCTCTTTTGGCTACTAGACTTGCATTACAACAGACACCGATGCAAAGCAACAGAACAGCTTTGCGGGGAGCAGGGGAAGGGGGGAAGAGTCACACTGCATGGTGAAGGTGCTACTTTAAGCAGAACATAGTAACACACTTCTTCGAAGCTTTGCAGTTTTAAAAATTGTTACTGCTGCTGAATTCTGGCTAACTTTGATGATTTCAGTTAATCCCATTAAACAAAATTAATCCAAATCAAAACTAGTACACTAGTTCAAGATGCTGAGAAAAACAATTTCTCTGTCTAACATAAGTGAATTCACTTCAGATCATTCTAACCCAAAATGCTTCAAGTCCTGCATGAAATCCCTAGGTAATCAGATTAAGGATAACTCAGTGAGTTTGAAGGAAAAAATGTTCTGGAATAATGATAATTTATGTTCTTATTATTGGATATGTTCTAACATTTATCTGCATCAATGATTAATTACATTGACTTTGCATTGTGAAAAGCTATGTTTTCAGAAAATCAGAGTTAATTTCACAGTAGAAGAGATATAGTTTGATAACACTTCTAGAAAAAAAAATATTGCAATTGCCTTACCTCACTGACATAGTTTTATAAGAATCCATACCTTGCAATTTTCTACTTATGTCTTGTATTTTGCCATTCTTTTTACTTTTTGCTCACTAGAAAATAAATAGTCATCCAAAGAAGGAAATTCTGCCATCATTGGTTTAGTAGTTTCAAGAAATAATATATGCAATAATTTATTAACGTTGCATGCCATCCAACTCTCAATGACTCTGGGCAACTTACAGCAATTAAAGACATTACAGTGAAATCAGTGAAACATAAAGATGTTATGTTCAGAATTTGTATACTAATTGTGGGTGACTTTAAGCTAATCAGTATCTTGCAACCTAATCTATTTTATGGGGTTATTGTGAGGATAAAATAAGAGACTTCCACGCATACAAATATTACATTTCCAAGGGAAAAGTAAGAGTTATAAATAAGATTAAATTAATTTTCAGCTAGATTTCTATTTCTTCTCACTGCAGAATGTTCCGCACACAGGAGTAAGTTTTAAATTATAAAAATGTGAGAAGAACCCTTTTAATTATCACTCAGTAACACAAAATATTAAAAACCTAACGTGAACAATTGGATTCTAATTCCGCAGCAAAAATGGAGAGATTCCTTAATACAACCGGATCCGAGTTTCCCACGCGATATGACTCCCCGTCTACAGATCCCGAACGCTTCAACATTATAACATTATAATTATAATTTCTTTTTGAAAGGCATTCATTTTATTATGTTGCCCGCTTCTCTATATCTTAACAAGAATAAGCACGGGCAGCTTTCACGATTCGTAAGCGCTCCAAAGACCGTCATCCCGGCAGGGCAGCACAATATTAGCTGCGGTCAAAGGTATTCCCGTGTTTCATGTCTCCTCGGGCAACCGCACTCTCTAGAGACCTTCATCCTGAAGGCAGCTTCCGCCTATGGGAAGCGCCGTCGGGCAGCCCTTCCCAGCCTGCGGCTCTCGGAGCGCCTGGCTCCGCTCCCGCACGAGGCGCTCGCATTCCCAGAGGTCTTTGCGGCCCCCGCGCTCAAAAGCTCAGCGACGGCAAACAGTCGCTTAGACAACGGAGGGCCGCCGCTTCCATAGCGATCATTATACACGGGGAGGCGCGTGCCCAGGCTGTCGCGCGGCTTGCCTTCAGTCTCGCGAGAGCCGGCCTTCCTGTCTTTCAGAGGCCATCTGGGGCGCCTTCCCGCCGGGCTGGCATGGAGGGAGGCGATGGCTGTGGGGAGCACCTGTTCTCATTGGAGCTTCTGGTGGAGTCAGCGCGCGTGCAACCGCGGCTACTGCCGACGCTACTACCCGATAGTGGCCCCTTCCTGTCGGCCGTGGCTCTCCGGCTGCTGGACTTCCCGACCCTCCTGGTCCATGCCCCACAGTCCGCGTCCTGGCCGGTGGTGCCCTTCGGGCGGGGCAAGTCGTGCCTCTTCAGGCTGCGGCCGGACGCTCTGAAGGGCCTCTTGCGGCGCTCTCCACTCCACGCGCTGCTGCTGGCGCTGCCGCCCAACCCGGGCCCCGCCCGCCTGCTCGGTTCATCCAGCATCTCTCTTGCGGCCGCCGCCGAGGAATTGTTGCCTGGCTCCGGGCCGGCTGCTAGAAGGGGCCACTTCCCGGTGCGCGACCTGATGGGAGAACCAGTGGGGGAGCTGGAACTGAGTTATCGCCTCAACAGCCTGGGCTCCTCGGGCCTAGATCACTTCGAGCAAGGGGCGGCGGTGGACGAAGCCCTCGCTGGAGACCAGCAGCTCCCCTGTCCGCAAGGGAGAGTTGCGGATCGGAGGCTCAGTCTGGAGTTCATCTCAGAAGGAGAGGAGGACCCTGCCCCAGGCGGTGGCAGCCAAGGGTCCTTAAGCAGTCCTGATACAGAGCCGGAGCCCTTTTCTGGTAGCTCAAGTGAGGAGGAAATCGCAGGAAAGCTGGACAACAATGCCTTTTGTCCCCCACCAATGTATTACAGTCACCAAATGGAAAATTGCTTCCCCAGCCCTAAAGCTGCAACAAGAGTGATAATCATGGCCGCTCAAGATTCACTTCCCAAAGAAGGAACTCCTTTACCTTTTGTGAAGGGGGAGTCTGTAGTTAGTGCTGAGAAGGCTCTGCCACCCTTACTCACCAACACACCGGGTACTTCTGAACAACTCAGGCAGACTTTAAGTCAGTTGCCTCTACTGAATGCTTTGCTTGTAGAACTCTCCTTGCTGAATAGCCAGCCCCTACCACCAGGACCCTCTGCTGTGCATCCTCAGTTGGCATGGCTATATCAAAATGCAGAAGAAGCTACAAAAACATTACCCTGTAATGGTAAGAATCTGTGTGCCTGCTGGGATGATAAGAAAAACACCCCACATCACAAAGAAAGAGGAAGATCACCTAGTCCTAAATTAAAAAGAAATCGCCCAGATCATTTAAAAGGCATGTCTCCTAACTGTCCTGGCAAAACTTTTACAAAACCAATATACACTGAACGACCTGTGAGCCCTGAAAAGGTTAATACCAAAGAAAATTCTCCCACTAGAAGGAAATTCTCTTATGGGCTGACAAATACATTAAAGCTTCGTGTTCAGAGATCAAGTCCAGGTATGTTGAAGGTTCATGAAAAGAGAGAACATCGTAGAAAAAAACTTGGTGACATATCGTTTGAAAAAAAAGGTAAAAGCTCTTTGACTAAAGAAAAAATATTCAGGGGCTCCCTTGACTATCATCCAAAGTCTTCTGGGCAATATGATGAAAAAAGCATCTCTGATCAAAATGCTCAAATTAATGAAAATGTTGAGACTTTAATACAAAGCAGTGTTGGCCGAAATAGCCATATGACCACAAAGAAAATAAGCTCTCGTATTACAAAAAAAATTGGACCCAGTTGTGTGAAGAATAAAGACACTGCCAAAGGGAAGTACTCCTCTGAAAGTGTTGATTCTAATTGCAAAGAAAAGAGCTTGGAAGTCCATCTGCCAAGAGTCTTTTTACAGGATACTGAAGCCCTTGAAAACCCAGTAGATGCTCAGATAGAAAAATGTTTGCAATGTGATCATAATATTCCATATATATTTAAAGATAGGCACACCAACAACTTGGAAAAGAATTGTGCACGTAAGAATTCAGATAGGCTGTCTGAAAATACAGCCTATTCGGAAGATTTCACCAGTATAGACAGTTGTGGCACAAGCTTGGAAGCTCCAGAGTACAGTCCTGAACCTTTATCTATAAACTCAGATCACAGTCAGTCTGGCATTGACTCCAGTTCTAAAAATTCCAGAAGTCTTCCTGCTAAATGTATTTCACCTCTTCTTCCAAAAGTTTCAGCTATATCTCCTGTTCAGACTCTTAAAAAGACATATGACTTAAAATCTAACAAAAACAAATTAGGCATTGGATTGAAAAAATTTGATGATGATTCTCTTGCAAGAACTTTAAGAGACCAACTTACAATTAAGGAAAAGGAAGAGGTTACCCAAATTTTTGAGGACAAACAAGTACAGCCTAATACAAATTGTAACTTAGCAAAAAGCCAGTCTTATGTAGAAAACAGCCATTCTGCAAGGACATCTCAAGTTAGCTCTTACTTGCCCTCTACTATGTCTGACATTGAATTTAATGGTCTAGAAGAAAGCAAAGCCTCTGACAATGAACAAGAGGATAGCTTTGGAAAGATGAATAACACAAATCAGTGTAAACATATCAGTGAATTAGTAATAAACAAGCTTCCAGGATACACAATGTAGCAATCAATAGTAAAATCAAAGTGAAAATGTTTTAATATTTAATAAGAAAACATTTTAAGGGAATTTTGACTTTTTTTACAAGTATAAGTTTTGCTTAGGATGCAAAGATATTTGTCAGAGTAATGCACAACTCAGACTATGCAGTTTTGTGGAACTGGTGGTTTCTTAGTTTCAGCTGTCTCCAAATCTACCACATTCTGTGATTAGCTGCCCCTGAAATTCAAGGACAGTTTTCATATGATATAAAGGTTTCCCGTTCATATAAAAAAAAATGTTCTCATTGAGCATAGGAAATGATGTAGTGTGCCTAAAATAATTCTCCAATTTTTAATTTGTCTTTTAATTTTTCTTTCAAAATTAATAAGCAAAAAATAACTAAAGGGCACTAGAAAACAAGTAAACTATAGTTGATTATAGACTATTGAAGATAATACTTAAGCAAACCAGTTTTTATTTGCACTTTGGAATTTAAGAGAATTATAGCTATAAGTGAAGTAAAAATTGTTCAGTAAAATACATACTTTAAAAAACAAGGTTTCCACAAAAGCAGCAAATTTTCAGAACATGATTTGAAAAATACTATTACTTCAATTGCAATGCTCAATTATATGTTAATCTTAACAGAATTATTTTTTCTATAATGTTATTCTAATCCGTGGTCATAACTGATTAAGTTTTGCTTCATAATTTTTTAAAAAATCCAAACCTAGTTCTTCCTGTTTTTGTCTTAATCATTATGTCTTCAGTTTGCACTATATTCCACGTATTGTTAATTTGTTCAATATGCTGGGTGGAGGAGATTGAATCCTATCTATGGAATGGTAATGTAGCAGATACTTTTTTAAAAAAATATATGATCCCAGGCATGGATTCCCAAAATATATGCTAGTAATATTCATGTCTTAAAAATATCTTTAAAAAGTAGTGAAAAAACCCTATGTCATATAATCAGTAGCTTTCCGAAAAATTGAGTCATTTTTCTTTTTTATAGCAGGTGTAAAAATGGCCTAGCATAATGGGAAGCCTATAGTAGACATGTATTGTGTCTGCTAGTGATTAAAGATGCAGGTTAAAGTTCCCAACTTAATTGAGTCAACTTCCAGGAAACATGGGATTAATACATTAATATTGCCATGTCCTGTGTGCAGGTAAGTGCATATCCAAGTATAAAGTGACTAAATGAAGTGTTTACTAGCTATATTGGTAGGTAAAGGGGATCTACTCAATGCCAGTACTGTAAAGAATGCTGGTGTTCTTATAAAAAGGAAAAGTATGAATCTTTGCTAGGCACATTTCCAAGTTTTGGCTTTTTGGCAAAAGACATTTTTGACTCAAAAAAAGTGATAAACTTTTAAAATAGGTCTTTTCAGGATCTAGATTTTAAAAAACTAGAGAAATTAGCTAGTTCATGACATATAGTATTTAGGTAGTAGTAGGGTAATAATATTAATGTATTGTCTATATTTCATGCAACATGTTCCCTTGTTTCTTTTGAAGAATTTGCTAGGCATACTGGTCCTAAAAAGTAGTAACAAAAGATTTGATCAAATCTTTGGTAAGAGCAAGTCACTCCTGCCAGTTATCTTAGCCAGTTAGAGATAGCGAATCATCAGAAAGCTTTTCACTTGCATGATGCCATACACTTCCCTTAGCCATCCTGGACAGCAGGGATACCACTGGCTGAAAAGTTCTGTCCTTGGGATTCTGGAGAGGTGGAAACCTCTGGACACATCCTTCTTCACTGCTCTTTTTATACAGATGTTCGAGCAAAATTTATTTTCCTGACTATAAGTAACCTGACCATTCCGACACCATTTATCTTCAGTGATTGTTTAAAGACCAACAGATTATAGTCACAACACAGGCAGTTAGATTTTGCTCAGCAGCACTAAAATTGGCTGGAACCTGATGAATAATCTATTTATTATAACCATTTTGATATTATTACCCTGTTTAGTATATAATAATTATAGGCCTTCACACTTTAAGGACTAATATTACAATCTTGTGCTCTTGTTTGTGTGTAACTAATAAGCTGCCAAATTATGATTTCAACATAGATTTTATTATTATTTTATTCCAGAATTTTTAACTAGATATTCTGAGCATTTTTAATTGTACTGGTCTTTGTAATAAATATTTGACTGACTGGTAAGAGTAAGAATTGTATAGTAACACACTATTGTCTCTCATACCTTCCCAATTATTGCTCTGATTTTGTTTTTTAAATGAAAAGGCTAAATAACTTGAATATGCTACATTTTATACCTATGGTAAATTTCTAAGGTGCAGTCAATATGGAATATGACATCGGATTCCCATTTTGACTTCCAACATTTCAGTGTGGAGTCTATTGCAGGATGGCAGAATTGGCTTTTGCCCTGTGGTGATTTCTGGTGTGCCAAGGGAATAATTGCCTGTCAGAATTCATTGGCATTGAAATAATGAACTAATGTTGGCTTTAGCTGCCAATTTCCAGATTATGATAGAAACCAAGCCAGAGGACAGGTAGTTGCTTCCCTATATTAAAATGTTGTAAGATGACATTTTTGTTTATAATTTAAGATTTTGTATAGACCTTTTTAAGCAGACGTAAGGACCTGAGCATTCATACAAAGTGTCAGTTTTCATTATAGAAGGAATCTAAATTAAACCTCCCAATTTGTGTTTGGTCTTTTGCATAAAATCTGGTCATAGAGCAGTTTTAAGAAAGTTTTATCTTGTAGTATTACCTAATGTATTCTTCCAGTCCAGTCCATTTCCATGATGAACATTTTTTAAGTTTAAGAAAGTTCATATTTCTTGGGGTTTTTTTAACTAAGGCAAAACAGTAATGTTTGATATGTTACTGAATTTGCTTTAATCTATTAAAAGATTAAAATGACTTGCTGATGTTTCTGCTATCTTGTGCATATATATTGTGCTGTGAACCAAGTAACAATCATTTAAATGTTTTGTTACTGTGTGCTGAAAATCATTACTATACATACTGTAACCCAGTCTATGAAATCCCATGCTAGTAGAAAGTTTAAAGGGTTGTAAAAAACACTAGGCAGGAAATCCCTCTGTCAAAAACAGGATTCAAATTAGGATCCAAGATTCCAAATATAAAAGCATTTCAGATTACATTACAGCCATGCAAGATAAATGCATTTCATCAAGTTGTTTAGCTATGCCCCTTGGTTATTTTAGCATTCTACAGAGTTTCTGTAATTGCCAGTTTCTGTGTTAGGGAGGTGAGGGAAACCTAATCCAGAGAAATCTAGTTAACTGAGTGCTTTGATCCCCCAAGTATGACATTTTAAAGACAGTGTAAACCACAACTGAAGATAGATCCTGCCTCTAGTCTGATGTAGTATTTAAGATGTTGGACTAGGAATGGATAAATATCTACCATTATGCTGTGAAAATCACTGAGTGACCTTGGATCAATCACTTTTGCTTTGCCCAGTCTTCTCACAAAGCTGTTGTGGTGATGAAGGTACACTGTTCTGTGAAAAAAAAATAGTTTCCTTTTTAGAGGTTTTGCATACATGAAACATTTCACTATATTTTACTTCTGAGGTAACCTGAAGACCCAAAATTGTATGCAGTCTTTGAACTCTCTTCAATGGTTCCAGAGTCACCTGTGAAAGTGGGGAGATATTTTTCTGCCATTTCAGAGCAAGAACAAGTCTTACCAGTCTAAGCTTCAAAGTACTGTAGGTTTATTGTAAATTTCAAAACAAAACAAAAACTGAAACTCATCTCCATAGCTCAAGATGTTGCTCCAGCCGTTTAAAGAACAATACTGTAATAAACCCAGTAAAACCACTTAAGAAAAAAGACACCAAATATAAGATAGATACACAGTCCCAATGCTGAGGAACAACTCATCCATTGGGTCCTACTGTTCCCAGATCCCAAGCCTGATTCAAGCACTCAAAAGCTGTGAGACAAAAGAGGTGAGACAAATCCCCCTCAGGTAAGTTTTTCCTAAGAGGAAGGAGCAGCTCCAATGGACTGAAAAATCTATCTATAAATCTTGATAATGCTGTGTTATCTGTCTCATTTTATTTTACCTTATTTCACTCCATTTTTTTCTCTACAATTTGCTGTATCTTTTTTATTCTTTTTAGTTTTGAGTTTGTAATGTGGTTATTATTTGATCTCAGGCTATAAATAAAGTTTAATCAACCAGTAAAACACTATTTAAAACCATCCCAAAGAAAAAGAAATGCAAGAAAGCAAAATGGCTGTCTGAGGAAGCTTTGCAAATAGCTGAGGAAAGAAGGAAACCGAAAGGCAAAGGAGAAAGAGAAAGATACACCCAATTGAATGCAGAATTCCAGAGAATAGCTAGAAGAGATAAGAATGCCTTCTTAAATGAACAGTGCAAAGAAATAGAAGAAAACAACAGAATAGGGAGGACCAGAGATCTCTTCAAGAAAATTGGAGATATGAAGGGAACGTTTCATGCAAAGATGGGCATGATAAAGGACCAAAATGGCAGGGACCTAACAGAGGCAGAAGAGATTAAGAAGAGATGGCAAAACTACACAGAAGAACTATACAAGAATGAGCTTAACATCCCAGATAACCACAATGAGATGGTCATTGACCTCGAACCAGACATCCTAGAATGTGAAGTGAAATGGGCCTTAGAAAATCTGAGCAACAACAAAGCTAGTGGAGGTGACAGTATTCCAGCTGAGCTATTCAAAATCTTAAAAGACGATGCAGTAAAAGTGCTACACTCAATTTGCCAGCAAATTTGGAAAACTCAACAGTGGCCACAGGATTGGAAAAGGTCAGTTTACATTCCAATTCCAAAGAAAGGCAATGCCAAAGAATGTTCAAACTATCGCACCATTGCACTCATTTCACATGCTAGTAAAGTTATGCTTAAAATCCTACAAGCTATACTCCAGCAGTATGTGGATCGAGAACTACCAGAAGTACAGGCAGGATTTCGAAGAGGCAGAGGAACTAGAGATCAAATTGCCAACATACGCTGGATCATGGAGAAAGCTAGGGAGTTCCAGAAAAACATCTACTTCTGCTTCATTGACTATGCAAAAGCCTTTGATTGTGTGGATCACAACAAATTGTGGCAAGTTCTTAAAGAGATGGGAGTACCAGACCATCTCATTTGTCTCTTGAGAAACCTATATGCGGGTCAAGAAGCAACAGTGAGAACCGAACACGGAACCACTGATTGGTTCAAAATTGGAAAAGGAGTCCGGCAAGGCTGTATACTGTCGCCCTGCCTATTTAACTTATATGCAGAGCACATCATGAGAAAGGCAGGGCTAGATGAATCAAAAGTTGGAATTAAGATTGCCGGGAGAAATATCAACAACCTAAGATATGCAGATGATACCACTCTAATGGCAGAAAGTGAAGAGGAACTAAAGAGCCTCTTGATGCGGGTGAAGAAGGAGAGTGCAAAAGTTGGCTTGAAACTCAACATTAAGAAAACCAAAATCATGGCATCCGGCCCTCTCAATTCCTGGCAAATAGATGGGGAAGAAA